GTCCACGGAGATACTGTGTCTTAAGAGAATGGTTGTACTTCTTTTGCATGAATTGTAAGTCTCTAGCCCTTTTGAACTATGCACGAGGTGTGCCGTGAATTAACTGCCGATCCACTTGCTTCTGCTGCCCTCCGCTGCAGACTGCTTATTTTTAATCCTTGGGCCCTAGCACCTTTGGTCACCCATCATTCACTTTTGGGTTAATAGATTAAGTAATCAGTCTTTCCTCCTAGTGCATACGTCAGGTGTTTTCGTACAAAGTGATCCACTTGACCACACTGGGGGTAGCTACATGAGTAACAAGTGTGGGTGTCGACCAATGCGAATGTAATATGAGATATGCTGCCTGCTGCTACAGTTGCCAGCACTAGCAGCAATGATGCCATGAGTAAGTGGTGGGGCCTCATTTTGTACCGTGTACATGAATTCTCCAAGAATTCAACTGATGCTTCTAATCAAGATGGCAGCCAACGAAGATATCCAATCCGATCCCGTGGATGTCTACTCCAACCGTAGCAGGGGCCAATGGGATACGTAATCTTGCACCGGTACGTCATTTAAATGATGTCATTGCCTTGATGACGATCGCTAAAGGTGAACTGTTATTGGCGGTTGAGGGAGTGATGGTTTGTCACCCTATATAATGAACATTCATGTATGTGAGCATACAATTTACGTGGTCGACGCATAAACTAACCTTGGGTGGAATCGCACACAACACACCATCTTTTGTGCGAAGGATTAGTACAGTGCATTCGCTTCTAAATGCGAGAATTCTTGACTTGTGAAAAGTGACCACAAATGCCACATTTGAATGGTGTAGCCACCCTGATAGGTCTCTTTGTGTTTTAGGCTTCTAGATCGGAGGGCACTTAGCTGGATGTAGAAAGGGGCGAGTCTTGTTTTCCTCCTCTTGTTAAACTTAACTTTCCACTTCCACCATTGTTCTTTTAAGACGCTTTTATTACATGAGCTCGCGCGTCACATATATGTGGCGCCTTTGTTTACGAAGTGAAGTAGATTAAATGGGAGAAAATGCACCAATGGTCATTTGTATCGTTACAGAAGAACACAGTGGTTAATGGCTGACATTTTTCTGTTGTTAAATTCATTTGATGCTTGACGGCGGCCATGAGGATGAAACTATTAGCTCGATGCCTTGTACGCAGTTGCAGCGACTCAGCCACGGGGTACCATAACTAGGTGTCCCCTCCGCATTTTTTTGGTGATATTGGCGTTGGATTATTGGTCTGCTTCTGTTGTTCCCCATGTGGTCGCAAGCAATCACCATCGGCAGTTGACGAGGTACACGGCGTTCTGTCGCCTTCGCCTTCGCCTTCACTACCGCCGAATTTAGCTACCGTGGGGGTCTACGTGCCCGTATGAAAGCCTTGAGTGTCGTCTCCGGCGTTCAGTGTAGTCGCTTTTAATTTTTCTGCAACAAATCGCAAGCCAGAATCGATGACGTGGTGAATTTGCGCCTTTGAACACTGTGTGGAGGTTATGGTACATTCTGTAAGCTTGAAGCACGAAGCACTGGAATGATCATTCTTTTCCTTCTGGCAGCGCAAGACTGCCTATATCCCTCATCCTCTCCATTCTTGTTCACTAGCTCTCCCTTTTCAAGCTTTGATGATGTCTCGACAATGTTGTGTCACTCTTTCAGTTTTTGGTTGGTACATTTTAATTTTGCACACACCTTTCAGCGTGTATTTGACAGAGAAGAAAGTATGTAAGATTGAGCAGACTCGTAAAGATAAATAGACATCTCCTTGATGATCGAAGTTAAAGAAGTGTGTGATCCAAGGCGACACCTTTTAAGCTGAGGTATTACCATCTTTGGTATCGGCGAGTGGAAATTTTGGGTTTAAAGCCTTTTGAATTCAGAGGTACTCCCTAGTATAAGTAAATGCAAGAGCTGCAAGAAGGTTACCATATTTATCTCATCATTACTGTTTTTATTTTTTCCTCTGCATATTTTTAGTATTTTGTCTTCACATTTCCAACGCATTAATGCTCTTAAAGCTTTGTCGTTTCTTTCTGCAATCCTTCCTCACTGCACTGCTTTCTATTTTTGGATTAGTTGGCGTAGCGTAAAGCCTCGATGACAAGTGTTCTGTGAGATGTAGAGGCAACTACGTACGGTTTCGTCTCTTTCCTTTCTTCATTGCTAAAGTAATGGGCTTCAGAACTTATGCTACCTTCCTTTGGTGTATATGTAACGCATTTCTCGTGTACATCATGGCGACAATGGCTTGGACGGAGAGGAAGGGGAATGTGCGGGGCTTTGTTTTTCACTCCACTACTGCTTCATGACCTGGCATTGCGTCCTCTCTGGCAGTGTAAGGCAGTGTCTACTTGTGGCAGTGCTTCATTAGGAAGGCGCAGGTCGTAGAGAGTAGAGCCTTGACAACAAATGGTGAGGGGGATTTAGAACTAGAGAATTGCTTCGTTCTCTTTTTTATTCGTTCAGTGCTGGAACCGATGGGCATTGGAGCCTTTGCTTGTTTGCTATAGGTCTTGTGTAAGGCAGCTCGCACGATGCTCTGGCACGTTTCTTGCTATACAAATATGGCAGGCTTTCTGTGAATTCTTTCCTACTTCCCCTCCTCAAATATGGATATTTTCTTGTGTACCCCTTTGCCTTTTTTTGCTTGGTAGAGCAAAAGACCCACGAATAACACCTCCCATCACGCCTTCTCTCTCATTGCGAGCAAATGCGCTAGAGTTAGTGCTTGACCTCATCATTGCCTCCGTGAAGTTGCTCTCGGTGAAGTGCACGACTGTTTTGCTGCCGAGGCATCCGCAAAGGTGACTTGTCCCCTTTTCGTGCCGTCACTTTTTTCGAGAAGTTTGTAAATCTTCCTTTGCTAGAGCGCATTCCTAATTATCATATGCGACATTTCCCAGCCTTTGCAGTTTTTGTTCAAATTTATCTCCCTGAGCACCTGTGAACGTAGTCTTTTATTACTCTAATTTGCTGGAAGGCATTCAGTTTTAAATTCACGTCATTTGATTGGCATGCTTTTCATAAAATTATCAAAATCTTTGTTGACAGAAAATCATTTTTTTACAGATAAGAAGATTTGGACGTTAAATGCTTTGGATGAATTTGTTGGTGATTCCTATCATCCGTCTTGTAACCGCTTGACCCAAATTATTACGCAGAATGTTTTTTTTGTTTCTCCAACACGAGAAACAGTTTCCTCTAAAGTCAGTCATGCGCTGAATGTACTTTGGAGGTACTGTCACTTCTTACTAAACCAACCTCTCTCAGCGACCAAAGAATTGTCGTGATGTGTGGTGGCTGTATAAAAGTGGTGCTGGCGACTTTGTTGAAGTACTTTGCTTGCATCGTTTTCGAAGGTGTGGGCGCAGCTTCACCCAACGTGGCGTCGAACTACAAGGAGCCAGAGACCGGTGTTGTCCACCCCATTGGTCAACCAGTTTTTTTCTGCGAAGATAGACAGCGACCTTCTGCGCAATGAGTACATGGCATACGAAACGGGTCAAATCGAGCAGCGGCGCTACCTTGCATGGATCAACCTGTAAATCACTTCCTAGCGATTGTAATGAATATGAAAAATATTTTACTTCTCAGTGTTAACATAGTAAATACCACCAACAATAAATTCGCCACAATCATCCAATGTTATCTTCGCAGTTGTTGTTGTGTTTAGGGATGTGTTACAAGCCAATTCTTACGAGGATAAACATTCTGATCTCAATTATTCCCCTGGATCTGTACTTCGGACAAGAACTGTTGTTCCATGCAATTGCGTAGATGTAAGAAGCTCATGTGCTTTCTATCTGTTGGAACTAGTAGGAGCTTGTAGAGCGCATCAAAGTGCCCCTTCAATGTGGGTTTCTCGCTACTGTGCTTTGTGCTGCTCTCACGTCTTGGGGCTCTGGTATTGGGAAATGGCATTTAAGCCCAGTGGCTGTGGTTTGGGCTAGTTCGCTTTGCAAAGCGAATCTAACTACCGCCAATTCTGCACCACAGCGTTCCTAAATCATGCCTCGATTAATCGACTTGAGCAGACAGTTGGCTTTTTACTGGACCAATAGTGAAAATTTCGCAGTTAGGCAATGGGGAGAGTAGAAAGGCGCCCAGGGATGATCATGCGGTTATGGTTTATTTGTTGTAGCTTCAAGGTTATGTGTAATCACGGAAGATTTGTTTTGATATCAATGACGGATTTTCACAATAGGATTAGAAAGAACGTGTGCATTATGTACATGAGAAGCCATATACGACATTGAATACGAGCTTTTTGAGTATCATGGTCAAACGAAGACTAAAAAGCAAGATTTAAAAGCAAAGACGACTGCAAGGGATGATAGAACTTTACATTAGAACGAGAAGGATTTGATAGCTCGAACACAAATTTAAAATCATTTAATGGGACAAAGAAAACCACTAGGACTTAGGACTGGTTGTAAATTATAAGGCAAATATAATGTGAAGTTGTTTTTTAAAAAAAGTCATTTTACGTGAATATTTTAAATCACCAACATACCCATAAGTTTGCTGAATTTTTCTATGGTTACTAAACTGATCGTATTGTTAGCATTATGCTGGCATACGCAAAAAAATCAACCTTCCGCTATATTGCGATTGGTGCCCCCATATGTGCACTGACTGCGCATTAAATAAAATAGAAATGCGCAAAATTATTAGACTAGGGCCAGTCTATTGCAAATGCGCGGTATTTTAAATGATATATGTAAGCCAAGGCAATATAGCAACCAAAATGATAAAACAAGCAAATAAAACACCAACTGAAGATAATTTGCATTTCACTGCTGCTCTTTTGTTTTTCGCATGCCAAAAAACATTGTCTTAAGCCTAATGCCACGAGGTCAATATCATCAGATTTACCACGTGTCAAGTTTTGACATTAAAGCCAAGAAGACCATATTTGTGATAAATAAGTTCCGATTTGACTTTTGCGTAATTTTTTAAGGTATTTAAATAGTGTTAAACATGCGCAGATCTGCCAGAGTTTTAAGATGACCATATGACCTCGCTCACAACCAACAGAACCCAGAACCTCAGTGGGTCGGTACGCCATTTCGATAAAAATGCGTCTGCACCTCCCCTTTTCTTCCTTATGCCGATATTTTAAACCTCAATCAGACTAATTTCTTGATTGACTGACTGATTCATTGACGAACCCATTGACAAATTTTATGGCCTTTCGAACGATCGCTTGATTGATTGGCTCATTCGTTGCGTTGCTTGCTTAAATATCAATTAAATGATCGCATGTTGTGACCGATATTTCTGCTGAACCATCTTAGACTGATTCCATTTGAGTACAAAACGATGCTGTGACATCAGTTTCTCAGTACTTACAAGTCTACTACTCCTTCGTGACCAGCACCTCTTTTCCGTGACATCTGGTTGCCAATTGCAATACATCATCTTGCTTCTAGTAACCCCTAGCGTGCCGTAAGAGAGCGGCAGTCATGGCTCCACAAAGCTTGGTTAAACACTTCGCAAGGAATCGGAAAGACGTGAAGCGGAAAGAAAAAGGATGAGTGAAGGGCAGATTAGTTGGTGAACAAGCACGGTCTACCCACGTCTCCACCACATCCTACTTCGTGGCTTCCTCCCCCTCCACACTTCGCCATCCTACTCCCACTTCTTGCACACCCCTCCTCATCTACGTCTAGCATCCCCTTCACCATTTACAACACCTCTTCTCCTCCTCGCATAACTTTACTACTGTCGCAGGATTTGGATATCATGACATATTCCTTTTACGCCAATTCCGCTACAATCATTGCACTCTCTACATTGCTGTAGCCCTTTTGATATGGAAGAGTAAAAGAAGAACAAATAGGAAAGTAAACAGCCAAATTATTGCTCTTCCAGTTCTTCCTCATTCAATTCTTCCCCGCTCCCTACATCGTCAAAAATCTCCTCTTCTAATTTCGATGATCGCACAGCTCTGCCTTGTTGAAGAATCAGTGCTTTCAAATCAGTTGAAATGGCGGGACCTAAAAGTGGAAATCAATGGGAAGGAATTGTAGGGAAAGTTTAGGTGGAAACCGAGGGAGCCAATGTCCACAAATTCTGCCCGCTTCATGCACACCCTCATAAACAAGGCCGATGATCTGCCATTAATAGCTTCCATGAATGCCACGCCGAACTGGCATAACTGGTACATAACTAACGTACGTAACTAACGTCTACCGTGTTGATTGACAAGTCTTCCTTTGTCTGACAAGCTGACTGTTCTTGTAACCAGGGTTGAGGGTTATCAACCCTAAGAGCTACATCTACGGGCGATTGGTCTGTTGTGTAATTTTACGATAGCATCAGACATGCGTTTCACAAGCTGCATGAAGCAACACTCCAATCCCTCCAAGTAATCCGAGATTACTTGCAATTCACTCATTTCTGGGGTTAAAAAAAAAAACATTTCTTGCGATACTTACGCCTCATGAATATTTCTGGAAGCGTCTCTGTTGCAACTACTCCACCATCACCTTCAGGATTAGCAACATGGAGAGAATGAGAGGTGCCATCTGGTCGTGTTTGTGTGGATAGCGCTTCCGCCGTCTTGATGAGAAGGTGGAAATGTTGATTACGTAGTTGGAGGCGTTTTTTCAAATCTAGGGACGGGCCTCGAGGCGCCTCCCCCCGAGAGGCATCATGTTCGTCATTCTAAAGGGGGAACAAGAGCCCTATTAAATGATGGAGGTAATGTTGATGATGAAAACTTATCAAAACTACTTGAGCATTCCAGTAACCTCGAGGAGGATTAGCTAACCCGCCCTCTCCCTTTGAATATAAGCCAAATGATTTGGAGGAAACGTGGAATGAAGCGGACGCGAAGGAAGTTCTGCCGCCAGGCATAACAATAAAAGTAGGTAGAACAAAGTTAACTATTTAGTTATTTCCTTGATCCATAACTACGGTTTGTGGTCTCTTACCTTCGTCAAGGAGAATAAGCAGAGTGAAGTCTTGTCTACTAGAGTCAACAGCCAAACATTTTACTAGCACCACTACTCGTCGCTCTACTTGGCCACTGGTCCACAAAATGTCACTGAGTTAAACAGTAAAGGATTTGGGCTCATTGGAAATACTTCTAACATGCATGGAGGAGTTTTTCCCCATTGTCTACTACAGTTGACTGCGCATCGGTAACGAAAACGCAACAGTTGGAGAGAAGTTTCACGGTCTGATAACCAAGGGAGGCAGTGGTCCATCGGTCAGCAAGTGAGATGATAAAGATAAGAAAAATTGCACCTGAAGAGGGAGGAGGAGAAAGCAGGGTTTTTCTAATTTCAATTAAAAAGACATCCTCTCTGACTAATTTCCCATGGTAATCTCCAAGTAACCCCTTAATCGTGGTACATAATTCTTCATCATTAGCCAAGAACTAAGAGGGGCTTCATCAAAGTGAGAACTTCAGTAATTTATCTGCCCCACCCCACTCTGGAGAGAAATCTTTGAAGTTGACTCCGAGCAGTGCAGTCATGGACCGCATTTTCGCCAAGTTACCAGAACCTTGGAGCCCTTCATGAAGCAGACAGACTCAAATCGTCTCAATCGACTTTGGCCAACCTTTGCTGAAAAGCGGAGTCGAAACACGTGGAAGGTAGGAGGGAGCGCACCAGAGCCACCTGCATCGGATAGACCAAAAGGTAATCACCGAGGTCCTAACCAACCTCCCGCACGATTTCTGTCTCTCAGTCTCTTACCATGTTCTCCGAAAGGTGGCAAAATGTGGGACAACCCCAAACCCCCAAAATTAAAAAAAACATTGGAACAACAAAAATTTTTTTAAATTGTAACAAAAATGAGGGAAGGAAAAGGAGGAAAAACGCTATACAAAGAAAAACAACAAGAACGCCTATGAAGCAGAGCCGCATGGAGACGAAAGGGGACAAAAACGAAGGAAATTTAGCGATCACGCAAAGCATAAACGGAAACTTCACAGAAGATGAGGTAGTCCCAGATAGTATTCACACCAGAGCAAGACTTTTGGGGTTGGCAATTTTCCCACATACGTTTCACACACTGCAATTGAATATTCATTGAATCAAACGAATAACACGACTGTAAACTAAGAAACGCTAAGGCCGAGATTACGGCAACCGGCAGACGTACAGCCAGACGAATTAAAAGACATGCACATCAAAAATGATGGAAAGTTGCCTTATTTACTGCATTATGCCTTCTGAAGCCAGCCTGTGGATATATTCCTCGACTTCAGAGATTATAAACGTAACCGCATACACACACACAG